CAAAATACTTAGGGGGACTAAGGGTGTAGCTCAGCTGGACAATGCATGCTTATTACGAACAGGGTCCTGCATTCAACTATGAGCCCCAAAACTGAAATAAAATGTAATAAATTTAACAAAAGAAGTAGAAAATATGTACTCTGAATACTACAAAACATTTTTTTTAATTAAAGCGTTAACTAAATGAAGGGACCTTCCAAGTCTGTTAATCAGATGACCTCATTTAAATGGCAGCATTTTTTTTTTGCCTGTTTAACAAATTTATTGTCTTATAAATGGAAAAATAAAGTTTCATATTTTTACTTGATCATCTTTTTTATTAATTTTATTGAGAAACAAATACCAATGAGACAGTTTCAAAACCAATTAGTAGGACAGTTTCAATAATTAATACACTGCATATTATTGTCTTCATAGTGGTTATTCATAGTATAAGATGCAGACACGATATCCTGTCCAAACACTATTAGGGAAAGTAGTTGTATATCTAGTCTAACTATTTTGTATATACAGATACAAAGTGGTCCTTCATTTATATCTCTTTTGTTTAGTTTTGTCAGAGACGGGTATTTCATTGCCATTTAAATATTGTAGGTGCGTGAATTCAGTGAAATAATCCAATATAGTCCAGTAGTCCATAATAGTAGTGGGTTATTATCCGTAGGACTGGCAATGTCAGAAGTTGGTGACTTGAGCCTTTTACAGCTCAGCATATTAATATGGTTTTACTTTTTATACCTCATTTTTATACTTTTCTGCTGGATGGTTAAGACCAAAATAAAGCAAGACCTATGTAACAAGAAATGTAACTTTTGAACCTGACAAGGTCAGTCAAATCCTCTCAGGATTTACCCTGAAACCCTGTACCACAGTTTGCAGATGTCAGCTATGTGGATGGGTCATGGCCACTGCTTGACCAATTTGCTCTCTGTGAAATCCTGAGAGAATGTTTTCTGTCTATGTGACTCTCCTTAGGCACACTCTACATCGTTGATCAGTTTCCCCTGTGGCCCCATAATCTCCTTGATCAGAAAATTTGGGACATCACTGAGTTACAGGGTATTACAGTACAGGTTCTCTTATGTCCTGAGTCCTCACTGACCTTGAAAGGCTGGGGCCAAAATGTTGGCTGTCCTTGTAGCCCTACTTTTTCTATAACTTTTGGTCTGCAAACGTAAGTTGTTAACCCTACAAAAGAGAAGCTTAATGATGTTATTACCCTATAACAGGCAGTTGAGCTTAACCTGTCTGAAATCAAACATGTTAGACATAGCATGGAACAGGTATTTTCCATCAAGTATTGATATGTTAAACTTCAAATCCCTACAGAATGTGAAGAAAAATAAATATTTAAAAATAGGAATAAACAAGTACATATTTTTACACAGAAATTTAGAAATCTAACCATATACAGCATTTTAGCAGGACAGTCCTATGACATTTTTTTTCTTATCTCTTGTTTTCATTTATTACTTTTTTTAAAAACAAATATTTATTTGAGAGACAGTATAGCAGTAATTGATATGACATGACAAGCAGTATATATTGAGAAAACCAGAATGACAGGCATTCCAAGCAGGACCCTAGTATTACACATTGCTATCTTCACTGCAGTTGCTTAGTTCACAGGTGTCAGCATATAGTCAGTCAGGATGAGAATCATACCAATTAATTGCTAGTTTCAAAAACCTGCTGAAGGTTCTTAGGATCATTGCCTTATCCATCTTGTGCATATAAATGTACGGGTTTGCCCCTGTCATGTTTCCTAGCATTTCTCCTTGGCCTCTCTTTGCTGTTTAATCCTTAAATTCTTGCTTTCCTTTTAATTGTGTTATACCTTTTTAATTTTATTTCTTCTTTTGAGTTCTTACACTAGGGAGACTATACAATATTTACACATGTGCATTTGGCAAGTGGATTTACAGTTCAACACAATCCCCACCAAAATCTCAGCTGTTTCCTTTGTAGATTTTGAGAAGCTAAGAATAAGTATAGAAGTTTAAGGGGCGCAAAACAATCTTAACTGAAAGTCTCACATTTTCCAGGGCTGGGGAGATAGCTCAGAGGAGTAAATGCTGGCTGGGCAAGGGCAAGTTCCTGAGTTCAATCCCTGGTACCTCTAAAAAAAAAAAAAAAAAAGCCTCACGATTTCTTATTTTCAAAAATTAATACGAAAAAAAAACCAACAACACAAAGCAACAGTAATGAAGACACTGTGGCACTCACATAATGTGAGACACATATAAATGAACAGAAAAGAACTGAGTCCGACAACAAATCTTTATTTATGATTAATTTTAGACACTGATATCAAAATAATTTATGGATAAAGAGTAGTCATTAAAGTCAATAATGTTAAATATCTACATGCAAAAGCACAAACTTGGAAACCTACCATACACAAGAATTAATTCACGATGAAATCCGACTAAATTTAAGAACTAAAATCATAACACTTCTGGAAGAAAGTAGCAATAAATTTTTGTGACTCTGATTAGGCAGATTTTTCTTAAATACAATATTAAAAGTATAAGCAAGAGTTTTACAAAATTCAAAGCCTTTGCATTTTAATTCATACCATGAAGAAAATAAAAAGCTAACCTATGAAGTGGAAAAAATAATTCTTTGCAAATCATACTTACAATGAAAGCTATATGTCTACAACATATGAAGAATACTTGTACCTTTATAATAAAAAGGCAACAGTTTTTTAAAGGGCAAGGAATCAAAATAGATATTTCTCAGAAGATCCACCAATGGACAATAAGCATATGAAAAAATCCTATCAGTAGCCATCACGGAAATGTAAATCTAAACTACAATGAGATACTACTTCACACCTACTAGGATGGCAATAATCAAAATACAGTTAGTGAAGATGTAGAAAAGCTGGCACCTTCACAGACCACTGCTTCCAAATAAAACAGTGCTGCTTTTTTGGGGAACTGACAGTTCCTCCACAGGTTAAAAACTGAATTATCATATCAAGAACATCACTTTTAGCTATATACTTGAATCTTACTTCTCCCTCATTGCTGAGAGAAACACCTAACACCAAAAGTTAAAAGAGAAAAGGTTTATTTAGCTCACAGTTTGTAGAGATTTCAGGCCATAACTGCCTGGCTCCAAGGTGGGGTGGCACATGGCAGAGGGGCAACTATTCACAGTGACAGAAGACAGAAAAAGTAACAAGGGAGCTTAATATTGTCTTTCTGTCCCTTATATCTTATCCAGATTGTTGGGATTAGGGAAGTGCCAAACCAATCAATAAACTGATCCAGTTATCATCAACCCTTAATCCCAGAATCACACACACTAAATTCAGCAATCACTGAAAAAACTATGACCACATGAGGCTCTAGGAGGACATATGGACACAAAGCATAACAATATCCAAGATATAATAAAATAGCCCATGTAATAATCTATACATGGGGCTAGGGGGATAGCTCAGTGGTCTAAACACCTGCCTGGCAAGTGCTAGGACTCGGGTTTGATCCCTGGCACCACATGCTGGCCCCGCCTGGCCACTGAAACTGGGCATGGTGGCACATGCCTATAATCCCTGTGCAGGGGAGGGCTGAGACAGGAGGATCACTATGAGTCCGAGCTGTGCAGTGAGCACTGGTACCAAATAAATAAACAAATGATTTTTAAAAAATTCATACATGTCTCGCATGCTGTGCTGGCCCTGCCTCTGGGGCACACTGAACTGGCAACTGAGTCTGGGCACGGTGGCACACGCCTATAATCCCAGAGCAGGGAAGGCTGAAAACAGGAAGATCTGAGCTATGTAGTAAGATCCTGTACCAAATAAATACATAAATGAAAAAAATTATACATGAATATTCACAGGAGCCCAAATTATTAATAGCCCCAAAATGGAAAAATCCCAAATGTCCACCAACTAATGAACGTACAAACAAAAATTATTCAAACATAAAATAAAATGCAGTAGTGATGTATGCTGTCACAGGGATGAACCTTGAAAAAAATATTCTGAGTTGAAGAAGGCAGTTCCAAAAGCCCACATACTGCATGACATATCCAGCAAAGGCAAATCCATAGAAGAAGGAAATAGATTACCAGTTGGCTGAGGGCTAGGAAAGTTGGGAAGAACAGGGGCTGGCAACTAATGGGAATGGGGTGAGGAAAATGCTTTAACATGGGCTGTGCTCCCTAGGCATAGTGGCACACACCTATAATCCCAGCACTTGGGAGGCTGAGGCAGGAGGATCACCATGAGTTGAGATCAGCCTAAACTACATAGCAAGACCCTATCTGTAAAAAAGCCAGAGAGAGAGAGAGAGAGAGAGAGAGAGAGAGAGAGAGAGAGAGAGAGAGAAAGAGAAACACAAAAAATAGAG